ACCCATGTCTGCAATAACGCTGACTCCAGGAAGAAGGTATCAGGTACTGGGTATAGGCAGAATCAGGGCTACCAGTATGCTGTTCAGGCTGTGTCCTATACAAGGACACCATATCTCAGATGGTACTATTCACATTGTAGATATACACTAACTTATATGAGAGGGATGTAGGTGTGGGCAAAGAGATTCTGGTCTTCCAGCTTACTTCTGAAATGAGGCATCAGGGGTACCTTCTCATACCTACATTTATACCAGCACACCAGACCATACACCTACATAGTCACTGGTAAATATATGTGCACCTGGCTATGTGTTATCTTAACTATGCCTCATGGGTTCCCTGAGGTCACTCCTTTCTCTTGCCTAATATTCTTGGAGACACAATTCCATCTTCTCAACCCCACCTCTATAGCCTGACTCTGAACCTGAGAAAAAGACCTCACCTGACAGGCAAGGTTTGGGGGTATGCAGAGTATTCATGTTGCTAGTGGAATGTGTTCCCTGGTGTCTGGAAGATATGTGAGTAAATAAGAGTGTGGTATATGCATGTATGTTTACAACTGCAGTTGCTACCCAACATCACAGGGCTACCACAAAGTATAACATAACTATTTTTTTTACTTGAGGGAAAACACCCTTTTCTAATTGGCCCAAAGGTACCAAAGTGGCTAGGAGTGACCATGGGTTGAGTAATTTAGTTGTAAAGGTTCTGGAAAGGCTTTATTGTCCACTGGCATATCCCACACATTGTCTGGGTTTGTGAATTCCCAGTTATTTATTCTTTCAGCTTAAGATTTGACCCCTCTAAAACCTTAGAAGGCTAAAACTTCAAGCTCACATCAGGCCCTCATGTCTTGTCTGATTAAATAAGTATGGGGTGGAACCTCACAATTAGCCTTTCTAACCAGTTCCCAAATTACCATAATGCAGCTGGACCAGGGCCACACTTGAAGAATTGCTTGGCACAAGACCAGGAAGGCTGCCTTTGGTGCTTTGACTATTTTGCTGCTGCCATGCACTGATCCTGGGCTACCTTTCTGAACTCTGGGCACCGAGCCTGGCTGGCACAGTTTTGTTCAGCCTCTGAGGGCCTCTGAGAGCCATTCCCTAGTTAAAGTGTTTTGAGTTCCTTGACTAGAAGATGCCCTCTAACACAAAGTGTGGGTGAGTAACTCAGATGCCTGCAGCTCATTGTTAGCATTTGTCTCTGATAGGTCTCCAGATGCAGTACCATAGCTGGATATATTCCTTAATAAGAGAATGGTTACACTCTCTATTCGTGGAATTTGCACAGACCTCTCCGCTTTATTATCTCTACTTAATGACTATTTGGTACAGCCTAAAATGGAATCTCCAGGCTATAGGTAATAGAGGTGAAAGCATTTTGAAGAGTAGAGAGTGCTGTGCAAAAATGTAAGGCATTATTATTATTATTATTATTGGAAAAAGGAATCTATATTTGCATTGCTTTTCGAAAATTTGGGTTGGACAGAAACTAAATAGGGTTTGATGACTGATGAATCCTTGGAACTATGTATTTCGAAGAAAATTATCTATCAGGTCCCAGTGTTAAAATGAATACAATAAAACAATTGTTGTTTTTGACTTGAGAGAAACCTTAGAAATTTCTGTTTTGTACTTAACAAGTCAGAAATATAGTTCTGAAACAGTTTAGGTTACCCATATTATTATGGTAATACATCCAAATAAAAAAAGTCCCTTCCCCTCTAAAAATAAATAAATAAAATCTTTAAATAGAGGAGAATACATATAAAGGATCTGGTACATTTCTTGACATACAGCTTCTTTGTAAAATAATAGCTATTATAATTGTTATTAAATACATATCCCATAATCATTCAAAATCCCCATTTGCCAAACCTAGAAAAGTTATCTGGTAATTTCTATTGCTTTTTAAATATTTAAAAAATATTTTATTTATTTATTTTTAGAGAGAGGGGAAGGGAGAAAGGAAGAGAGGGAGAAAAACATCAATGTGTGGTTGCCTCTCATGTGCCCCTAACTGGGGACCTGGCCCACAACCCAGGCCTGTGCCCTCACTGGGAGTTGAACTGATGACCCTTTGGTTTGCAGGCTGGCTCTCAATCCACTGAGCCACACCAGCCAGGGCTGGTAATTTCTATTTACATAAGAAAAATGGTGATTTTCCCAATCCCACCAATTACGTTAAAAGAATCCTTGTATGGTTTATTTAAGGAAGCAGTCTGCACATAAGGCAGATATGATGGTGATTCCTCCCAAATAATTTAAAATCTTGGCTCCCTCTTGAATTTTGAGTACATAAAAGATACTTGAAACCTTTTAAGATTTCATGTGAGATATAGAACTAACAAATTATTGAGAGAAAGGACACGTTCAACTATCAAATTTTGATGGTAACTAGCTGGGGAGATATTATGGCAGAGGTGAAGTACATGCCTACCCAGTAAATGTTTCAGATGACCATCTGGCTAATGCAGGTGCTCCAAACATTCTCTGTTTCCTGGGGTTGTCTAGAATATGAGCAGGACATGACTGCCTGAAGGTATCTACCTGTTTCCTGTATAGAATTTTCTCCATTGGTCATAGCTGAGGACATAACACTATAAAGATCCAGGGAAAATTTAAGCTAAAAATTTTTCCATGCTAGGGCTGCTAAGGTAAAACTAGATGCTGTAACAAAAAGACTCCCAAATATTTAATGTTTCAAACACAGCAGACATTTAATTTTCATACCAAAATGTTATAAGGGAGGTTTTATTAGTTGGCTGATGACTCTTTTCCAATATAGTGATTCATGGGCCCAGAATATGACCATCTTATGATTCTGCTATCTTCTAGGACATTTTCATCATCTGAATTCATTTATAGAAGTAGGAGAATAACATGGAAGGTATATATTCACTTCTTAAAAGCCTTGGGCTAGACATAGCACTTATCACTTCCTTTCACATTCCATTGCTAAGAATTCAGTCATATGGCTACAGTTAGCTCCAAGGAAGGCTGGAAAATGTGGACTACTTGTTTTCCCAGTAAGAAAAGTAAGTGTGTTTGTATTGAACTGCTACCATTCTCTGATATAACCACTTTGTATTGTGTCTTACATTGGAGGTTCAGAGCTCAATTGTTTTTGCTGCTTGGTCCATAAGAGCTGCTACAATGAAACCTTAGAAAAAGCTGCCCACTTTGTTATGTGTGGGCTGAATTTCCATGTCTGCAATAGCTGGTTTAGTCTGGACTATGATTTTATTTTGTTTATTTCTGCCTCTCTAGTGTGAAGTCCTGTGTCTTGGACATTGGGGGCACGCATTAAATGCTTCTCACATTAGTGAAAAAATTAATAGTTGCAAAGGGAAAATGTAGCCAAAATTCTAGATGTTTATTCTGAAACAAATTTTGTAGGCAATCTATTCTACCTTTTAATTTATTAACCTTTTTCTTAGTCCTCCTGGGTCACTCAGCTCTACCCCACAGAGTCCCCAAAGAATCAGAAAGAAGGCCACAGCTCCAGCATTAGCTTACAATATTCTAAGAGATATCTCTCTCTGAAATTTCCCTTTTTGACCATTGCATTCTTTTTCTATCATTGTCTGTGATGTGGTGATTTATAGTAAGAAATATATATTTGGTCTTTGTCCCCATTTCTGGTACACAGCTCCTGAAACCCTTGAAATTTCCGAAGTGATGAGAATGACAACAGTGCCTTTTCTTACATTAATGAGGTGACTCTAGGAAAGCACCGAAGGATGAGAGCTGGTTGCCAGGGGAAGTTGGAACTTTTAGTTCCGCCACCCTGACCTTTGGGGAGAAGAGATGGGCCGGAGGTTGAATCAGTCATCAATGGCTGATGATTTAATCAATCATGCCTGTTGAACTCGATAAAAAATCACAAAGACAACAGGGTTTGGAGAACTTCCAGGTTGGTAAACAAATGGAGATTTGGACAGAATGGTTTGCAGAGGTTATGGGAGCTCCTTTGCCCTTTCTCCATAACTTGCATTGTGTATCTCTTTTGTATGGCTGTTCCTGAAGTATATCCTTTTATAATAAACCAGGAATCTGGTAAGTAAAATGTTTCTGGGAGTTCTATGAGCTGCTCAAGCAAATTAATCAAACCTAAAGAGGGGTTAATTAAAACTCCAATCTACAGCTGGTCAGTAGGAAGCCCAGGTGACCTGGAATTATGACTGGGGTCTCAAGTGGAATGGAGCAATCTTGTAGGACTGAGCCCTTATTATGTGGGATAGTACCAGAAACAAGCTGAATTGTTGGACACCCAAGAAATTCTCTGGTGTCAGAGAATTTCTTGTTTGTGTTGGAAACTACCACCACCCCCGACCTGCACAATGTGTAATTCGTGACTAGAATCCTTAGCACCATAAAAAGATAGCACAAACTTAGGGGCTTAAAACAGCACTGATTTATTATCTCACAGTAAACTAGTTCAGAAGGATAAATAGGTTCACCTGAGTCCACTTAAGCATTATGCAAGTGTGAAGTCAAGGTGTCTGTTGTGCTGGGCTCTTATTTGGCATTTCTGGAGGAAAACCATTCTAGGCTCATTCTAGTTGTCAGCTGAATTTAGTTCCATGCAGTTGTGGGACTGAGATCCCCATTTCCTTGATGGCTGTCAGATGAGAGCCATTTCCAGCTTCTAGAGGCTATCCACATTCTTCAGTTTGCAGCATCCTTCCTTAGTCTTCAAGCCAACAATAAAGCATTGAGTCCTCACACTTTGAAATCTCCAAATTCATCTTGTTCCTCCTCTTCTGATTTAAAGGGCTCATGGGATTCGATTAGGCTGATGCTTATACTCTCCCTTGTGCCACATAACACAATCACAGGAGTAGTAACACTAGGGTTTGGCCATCATTGGGCCAAAATTCTACTTACCACAACTAGAAATCATAAGAAAGGCTAAGAGAAGTGTATGTGTCCTAAATTCTGGTCTCCAGTTGAAACAGGACAGCTGTGACTCTCTGCTCTCCCTCTGTTTCCAGATGAAGGACATGCGGCACAAGAATATTAACCCTTTCTTGGGCTTCTTCTATGATTCTAGGATGTTTGCCATTGTGACAGAATTCTGTTCCCAAAGGAGTCTAGAAGACATACTGAAGAATGAGGATATGAAACTAGACTGGATGTTTAAATCATCACCCCTGCTGGATCTCATCAAGGTTAATGGAAAGACTGAGGAAATCATGGATTTTCCTTGTACATTAGAACTTAAATGTTTTTGGATGTTTTGTTTTCCTTGGATCATTGTGATAATCTCACTCCTCCGCCTTACTTCCCGGGGTCAGCCCCCCACCCCTTCTCACAGTCTCTGTCCATATCTGTCATAAGGTACTAATATAGAAAGATTTTACTTACCCTTCCCAGTCCCCCAGTTTGAAGGCCGGATTTGTTTCTATTTCCTGTTGGCATTGAGCTCTCTTTACTTTCAGCTATCCTTTCTTCCATCCACTTCTCTGCTTTCTGGATGTGGGAAAGTGCTCATTAACAGATTTTTTTGGTACTCCTTAGTCCCATCTCCTGTCTTTCACATTCTAAAAGGTGGTTCAGTTAAGAACTAGGTGATGGGTTTTTGCATACCATAGGTGTAGATATGGAACTCAGCAAGACTAGAAAGCCAGAAGACCGTTGGGTCTATCAGGCAGCATATCCATTTTCTGAGGCAAGGACTATTGACAGCAAAGGGGATTCATGAATAAGCCTATGGATGTGCTTCTCAGGGAGTCTATGAACTCCCTGGAATAATATGCAAGCTGTGTCTGTGTGCATTTTTATGAGGATTATCTGGATAATCAATGACTTCTTGAGCATCTTGCCTGTTGGTCATAGTCTTGACGTTTATATTATGGCCTAACCTTTTTTCAAGATAGCTTCATAGACATTATCTCGTTCCAATTCTCCATAAAATAAGTGATTAGCCTCCTTTTATAGAGGCTCAGAGAAGCTAAATGAGGTATACTTTGTCATATAGTGTCTGCCACACATAGTAGGTGCTCAATAAGTATTTATCAGCCAACTATTAAGTGTCAGAGAAGATAATAGAATCGAAATCTCCTGATTCTTATTTTAATACTCTTTCCACTTACCTTGTAAACAAGGTCCTGTGACTTAAGGGAGAAATCTATAAATGACAGTGCTTTCAGGCCCAGGGTGAGTGAAACCCAAGCTTCAGACAACCTGGGGAAAAATCTTATGCACTGCAGAATGTTAGAAAATACTGCAGACTTTTTGAAGGCGCAAGATATAAAGCATACAAATACAAAAGGGGTGTCAGGCTACAAAATAGAGCCAGAAATTTGAAAAGGCTTGGCATAAACAGTTCTGAAATGATTATGCAAGAATATAGATGTATTTAAATATGAATGATTAAATCCATCTGATAGAGTCCTGGTAGATCATATTTGAATGTCATATAAAGTTGCCAAGCAAGTTGCAGAGATCAGTAGTATTCAGTTTTCTTCTTTTTATTTTTTTTTTGTATATTTTATTGATTGTGCTATTATTAGTTGTCCCAATTTTTCCCCCTTTGCCTCCCTCTACCTGATACTCTGCTTTCCTCCAGCAATCCGTCCCCTTAGTTCATGTCTATGGGTCATGCATATAAATTTTTTGGCTTCTCCATTTCCTATACTATTCTTAACATCTCCCTGTCTATTTGTACCTACCAATTATGTTTCTTAATCCCTGAAATGTCCCCCCTCCCTATTCTTCCCCTTCCCCCTCCCAGCTGATAACCCTCCAAAGAATCTCCATGTCTATGATTCTGTTCCTGTTCTGGTTTCTTGCTTAGTTTGTTTTTGTTTTTTAGATTCAGTTGTTGATAGTTGTGAGTTTGTTGTCATTTTATAAATTTTTTAAAGATTTTTATTTATTTACTTTTAAAGAGAGGGTAAGGGAAGGAGAAAGAGAGGGAGAGGAACATCAGTGTGTGGTTGCCTCTTGTACGCCCCCAACTAGGAACCTGGCCTGCAACCCAAGCATGTTCCCTGACTGGGGATCAAACTGGCGACCCTTTGGTTCGCAGGCTGGCACTCAATCCACTGAGCCACACCAGCCAGAGCAGGCTGTACCAATTTCTATTCTTGCCAGTAGTGGTTGAGAATTAGACTAGATCTTTGAGGGAGAATCAGAATCTTCAAATTCTTGGCAATTGTATATTTATGAGACCATCCTGTGTTTGAAATGTCAGTAAATCTTCCAATAACACACAATTCTCTATACACTTAAGATACGACTCTTCATCAAAGCATAAAATTTTAGAGCTAAAAGGGACCTGGAAATGATTCTTGTCAATGTTTTGCTTGCCTGGATATAAGGAAAAAAAGGGGCTGAATTCTGGATCATAATATCTCATGCCATTAACAATCTCAGAAAATGGCTCTAAAAGCACAAAATAGTTACATAAGTTACTAGATAAATCCTGTTTGCATCATCTTCGGGGCATGGAATACTTACACCACAGCGAGCTTGCTCATGGGAGGCTGAAATTTTGGAACTGTGTGGTAGATGGGCATTTTGTATTAAAAGTGACAGATTATGGCTTTTATGACATCTTGGAAATGTTAAGACTCTCCCAAGAGGAACCTTCTGCTAAAGGCAAGCAATCTATTTTACCCTTCTGATGCATACAAGGTAACTCCAAAGTTTAAATAAGAATATGCACTGAATTAAAGCCTCAGGCTGATTCAGCTCCCCACTTTTGTTGAAAATCCACCCTCATTTCCAAGCTAAAGGAGTTGAATGAAATCTGCAGGCTATAATCTTAGCACAGCCTAACCTTCCTAACAAAGTCTATGAAATAATGTTTAGTTCCTGCTGTGGCAGGATTAGGCTGAATTGTTTAGAGACCTCAGGGGTCCCTAAAAGAACTTACTGAGAACACAGTAGGTGCTCAATAAATGCTTGTCATATTGAATGGAAGGTAATTTGGTAGCTGGACCCTGTCAAAGCACATTCTGGAATGGGATGTCTCTAACACCTACCCTCACTGTCTCTGTGGGAGAGAAAGGAGCAAGTAGGGGGTCCCCAGCAAGCAAATGCTCTATGGGTTGTATGGGATGACTTCAGACAGAACTATGGCATTCTAGTAAATAAGTAGGCATGCCAGTAATGTCCATTTTCTGTTTTTGTCTTCTGTTTTAGAGTACTAGTGACAGGGCCAAACAGTGTCTGTAGGAATCATCACAGATCAAATGGGAGAAATCTGCGATGAGGAGTGGGAATGGATGAGTCAGAACTAGGAGGAAATGAACTGATGGAAGAGAGGGGAAAGAAAAAGAGTAAGAAGGAGAAACAATGAATAGGGTAAAATACACATAGGAAACTTAAGCATTAAACATTTTAACCAGTATCACAAGGGCAAAGAAGAGGAGACACACACACACACACACACACACACACACACACACACACCCACCCATACCAGAAAAAATACAACCCAAGAAGACAGAGGAGAGACAAAATTACAACATATACTCATATTCTTTGGCATTATAAGTTTTAAAACTGTTGACTTTACCACATAGAAAAAAATGAGGAATGAAAGATAGAGGGACACATGCACAGATGGAGACAGACAGTCCAGTCATCAGTGGTATCATTTTTGTGCTTTACAAAACTTGTGGGATACTAAACTTTAGGGAGTCATCTAGTCCAACTCTGTCACTTAACAGATAAGATAACTGAGGCTCAATAATTTTCCAAATCATGCAGCTTCTTAGCAGCATTTCTAGGAATTCAATTCTGGTCTTCTGAAGACTAGTCTACAAAACCAGCTAAATTAAAAGTTTCTTCTTTCTGTGTCCATCCACACTTTGGAGGACTTGACAGTCCTGGAAACCACAATAAAAATCATGTAATTCATTCTCTCTTTCCCTCTCTCTCTCTCTATCTCTAACTAACTCTGTCTCTCTATCTCTATCTCTGTGTCTGTCTCTGTCTATCTCATCTCTCTCTCTCGACCTGCTTATTGAAGACTTTGTCCTATGGTTATTATTTGGCTGGTTGCAATTTGAAAATTTGGAGTAGTTTCCAGGTATTAGTGCTACAAAAGAAAAAACTCAATGCTCAGCTTGCCAGAGCTCCATTTAATTCGCATGTTGACAACTTCCAAACTGAATAATGTCAGGTCTCAGAGTGAGAAAAGGATAGCTGCAGACTCTGTGTGTGTGTGTGTGTGTGTGTGTGTGTGTGAGTGAGTGTGTGTGTGTGTGTGTGTGTATGGTCTCTATCTTTTTCTGTGCCTCTCACTCTTAATGTTTTGTTTCACTGTCCAAATTGCAATGGCAGTGTGGATGCTCAATCCATTCTTCACACAGTGCAGCTAGGAGTTTTCTAAACTGCAAATCTGATCACATTACAGCTGTGCCAAAATTCACTGAATGGCTTCCCATTGCTCTTAGGATAAAGTTCAGATTCTTTTACATGACTTATGAGCCCTGCATGGTCTGGGCCTTACACACCTCTCTTTATCTCTATGCTCCAGCAGTGAACTCCTTCTAGTTGTTTATTTGCACCAGGCACTCTTTTATTTTCAGATCTTTGCACATGCCATGCCCATTGCTTGGGACAGTCTTCCATTCCCACTTTGTTATAGACTCATCTGATTCTGGCTAAGTTCTACTCTTTCTTTAGGCCTCAACATAGATACCACTTATTCAAGAGGCTTTCCAAGACATCTTATGCCGGGCTAAGTTCTCTTCATGATCTTTTAGGGCTTTGGTCTTTGTTGGTATTATGTGTTTAATTAGCTGTTTTCTTTCCTTATTTAAACTAAAAACTCTGTGAAGGCGAAAAACAAGTTTGCTTCCCTCAGCACCTTTCACTACTTGACAGGATAAATGTTTGTTGCATTAATGAATGGATGAAATAAAATGAAATCACTTGCTGCTCAACACCTTAGATGACAGGGCTAGTAGGATCTTTATATTTGGAAAACTCTTGGAAATCATCTGGCTAAACTTCCATTTTGTAGTTGGGTAAACTGAGGTTCAGAAAGGTGAGCTAATTAGTGACCAAGCTGAGATTTTAAACCCAGATTTCTTTACCCCCAGCTCTGTGTTCTTTTGTACTGTATCACACTAACTATCCAAAGGTGATTTTATCACTACAGCAAGGCTCAGAGTCAGTACTGGCTCTAGCAGATAAAAAAACAAGCAAAGATAGTTTTTCTAGTGTTCCCGAGAGTTCAAGTATGGTAGGTAGTGGCTCTTACTTGGCTCTGGAGTAGGGATGCAGAAATGGGGGTGGGTTGTAAGTGTATTCATTCCTGTCTGCTCTCAATTATGTAAGTATAGTGCAGATAAAGCCTCATTTTAGCCATTAACAACATACATGTAAGTGCTCTCTGAAAGTACTATTTGGTAATGATTGTATTTAATAATCCAGCTTTTACCAGAGAGTTTTGTCCTCTTTTCCCTTCTTGCACTTTTACATGTGCAGGGATAGAGGATGCCAAGAAAAAGCAGCCACATACTATTTTCCCTGCTTCAAATATTTTCCTTGCCCTCCCCCCAAAACCTATGCCTGAAACCCCACAGTCAGAAATGTATTCCTTTGACTAAAGTATCATTCAATATTTTCAGTTTTATTTGTAAATATCACTCCACTTAGGCAAAGAGACGTAAAGGCGAAGTCATTATAATAGAGAGTGTATTAGAGACTTTCATGGGGGTAGGGGCTTGGGGGGAACAATGGCTGGGGGCACTTGGAGGACAAAGAGAAAACATAAGTACATGATTGAAGGTAGGCCTAGAATGCCCTGTTTTACCATTTTGATCAGGACTGGCTTAAAATAAGAATTTTCACGGTGAGTTTCTCTTTCCTTGGTTTCACTAACCAAAATAATCTCAGACATTTTACCTTCCTTCCTGCTTCATAGTAGCTTGTCTTCTGTACTCCCTTCCCAATACCCTAAATTTAAGAAGATGAAAAGTAAGCCACTACTTTCCCCCCTGTCACCCCACCCTCAGCAGATACTCTTCTTCAGCCTCCTGATCTGGCCATCAACCTGTTGTATGCTATAAATTTCTTCCGTTCTCAGAGCACGTTGAGCCTATCCCAAGCCCTGTAATTTTCTTCTCCATTGGAGCCTTCCCGTGTATCTCCTTCCTGTCCTGCTGCCACCCCCACTCCCATTCAGGCCCCTTTCACTTTGCTTCTGGCTCTTCCTATAATAACTTCCTAGCTGGTCTCTCTGACTCCAGCCTCTCTCATTCTTGAATCCAGTTTGTGCATTTTGCCAGATTCATCTTCCTGAACATGGTTTTCATCAAATCCCTCTCCAATTCCTGCACCCCTACTGTCTTTTGTATTCATTCCAAATGCCTTCATTTGGCTCTCAGGGCCTCTCACCTTCTGCCCTCATTCTTCCAACCACCCTCCCTCCCCCACTTCATCAACCCTGTTTCTCATTTCTCATTATTTCTTAACAGAGCCATTCTCTTCAGCCAAGCTAATCTGCTTACCACGACCCCACCCACAATTTGCCCCTTTCTACCTCTTGTTCTTTTGCACATACTGTTCTTTCGCCTTGCAAAGCCTTTACCCTTTCATCTCCAGGAAACTGCATCCTCAACTGTTTTAACAAGCTCCTTTAAGATTTAATTTTTCCAGATAGCCTTTCTGGATTAAGTTGATCAGTTTTTTATTTGTTTGAACTTTATGAAATTGTCCATATTTCACCGTTTTGACCTATAGAAACGGCAATTTCATATGATTCAATGTAAAACACTCCCTCTAACTTTTGACTATTCTATATATTGTTTGTGTGTTTCTTTGTGTATTGCTTAAGGGGCCCTCCCCCAAAATTTCCGAGTTTCTGACTGCCATAACACCCTGAAAGCATAAATAATATCTTTTTTACCTTGATTGGGCCTGAAATGGAGCAGAGCACACCATGGGTAGTCAAATTTGGCTTTTAATATATTCATTTTCCTGCACTATATGGTGGGGCTCATCATTGTCTCCCTTGTATTGCAGGCAGGAGTACACAGGTCTGTTTTACCTATTGCTTGTCAACTCTGCAAGGGCAAAGGCAAGGAGTAATTAATCTCGGCCACCTCCCCTGTACCTAGCGTAGTGCCTAGTTCATGGTAGATCTTCAATAAATATTTGCAGAACTGAGTTGAAGGATTTGCTGCACCTTTTTGCTCTGCAAAGAACAGAGGAGGCCTGGGGATCCTCTAATCCTTTTAGAGAAGACCTCAAGAAAGCAACCTATGAATCTCTGAGCTGGTCCATCCCAATCAAATTACCAGATACATATAGGTCTCAGCAAACAACAAATCCATAGCAACTAGTCTGGCAGTGCCCTCACCTTTCCCTGGAAGCCTGCCAACTGCTACTGGCAGGCTCAAGAGAGCAAGCAAGCAAGTGCCAGATAGTTTTTCTACTTTGAGCTTTTCTGCCCTTCCCCACACATATGCTGTGTCTGCCTGCATCGTCCTGGGGTAGGGAGAGCAATATGCTTTCTTTGTGTGTAATTCCTTAGGTTCATAGATTCAGACCCTGGGAAGACACTAGCATGCTGATCTAATAAAAATATAAAGCAATCAATGAAATAGCACCCTTGGAGCCCTTGAGGGCATTGCACAAGCTGTCAGTTAATCCTCCCTGTATTCATTACACAATGCCTTCTTTTCAGAGTTATTGTGGACTGCCCCTGAAATGCTGAGAGCCCCTACGGGAAGGAGGTTAGGTTCTCTTGCAGGAGATATCTATGGCTTTGCCACCATCATGCAAGAAGTTACGGCCTGGGTAACCCCATTCTGTATGATGGATCTGCCTGCTGAAGGTAAGCAGGATGTGAGAAAATGGCAGCAGGGGCTCACCATGACACAGATTATCAAGCCAACCCAGGCTGTTGTGATTTACCAGAAGAGTGAACACAGCTACTTGTTTGTACTAACTGCCTGCTAGTCTGCAAGCAGCCTCTGTTGTGTGCAGGTGGGACTTGCATTTGGAAGAAATTTTCCTTCCCAAGAAACTGGTCCTTTTCCAAACTGACATGAACCAAGGGCCTACAAGACCTATGTCAGTCCTTTATTTTAGCAGCCTCCTCTACTTCTTTGAGACACCCTCTGCCAGGTATTTCAGTATCCCTCATGATGCTCCTGGATGGCAAGGTCCTCCCATACTTTTCCTGTGATATGCACAGGTTTTCATCCTCATCTCTCATTGGCTATCAGCAAAATGAGTGGTAAAAACAGTGGGCAAAAGTTTGAGAGGAAGCAGGATATTTGCATATTCTAAAAGTACAAACCCACTAACTTTATTAGTGAAAGATCCTGCAGACACCACCTTAACCAAGTGATCAAGGCACTTCAATATCATGTACTCCCTGACACGATGCACTGAGAAGGGCACAATACTGCCTCTGCGGTATTCTTGCCAAAAATGCATGGCCTCCATGTAACTATGGGAAAACATCAGACCCACCCTAATTGAGAGGCATTCGGCAAAATAAGTAGCCAATGCTCATCAAAAGTATCAAAGTCATAAAAGACAGGGAAAGAATGAAGAACCATTACAGATTGGAGGAGACTGAGAAGCACAATTAAATCCAATATGGGATCTTGAATAGGAGTGCAGGACAGAAGAATAATATTAGGGGGAAATTGATGAAATTCAAATAAAGATTCTAAATTAGTAATGTTGACAGTATTTTACCAATATTAGTTTCCTTCATACTATGATGATATAAGTTGCTAACATTAGGGGAAACAGAGTGAGGGGTATACAGGAAATTGAAGTATTTTTACAATTTTTCTAGAAGCCTAAATTTATTTCAAGTGAAGGATTTTAAAAATGTAAACAAAAAACTGCAAAATACTTAGCTATCCTTTGCCCCACTTAGAGTCTCATGTCATTTCTCTACTCAAAGCTCCCCAACTGTCCCCCATCACTTGTTAAATAAAGCTTGTGTTTGTCATATGACATACAAGGTTTTTTACTATCTGGCTCTCAACCACATCTCCAGGCTTACCTTCTGTCACTCCCCACACTCCACCTATGTCAGTGCATCGTGTCAGGGAGTACATGATATTGAAGTGCCTTGATCACTTGGTTAAAGTGGTGTCTGCAGGATCTTTCACTAATAAAGTTAGTGGGTTTGTACTTTTAGAATATGCAAATATCCTGCTTCCTCTCAAACTTTTGCCCACTGTTTTTACATCATGACAGGTAATGCTCTAAAATCTTTGTGGTTTCTCCCACTTGTGTCTTCACACAGGTTGTTTGCAGTACCTGGAATGACCTCACTTTCTCCCCATCTTGCCTCATCCAGATTGTGTCACCTCTTCTTGGAAGCTTTCTCTGATCTCTTCAGTGTGAATTAGGTGCTCCCTCTGTGTTCCCCTGAGTGTCGGTCTGCTAGTGCATGTATATTGTTTGTCATTGTTTATTTCCTCACTTGGACTGTGAGCTCCTCAAGGGCATGAATTATGCTTGACCTAATTAAAGAGGTGATCCATTCAACTTGATGGTGTTCTGAAAAAGGGACAAGGACTCCCTCTGCTAGAGAGTGGATGGGGGCAGTTGCACCTCAAAGGGTTGATTCACATGCACCGTCTCCATCTATTGCACTGAAAGAGCAAGGTGCTGTGATGGAGAAACCATTACTGGTATAGGCCAACCTGGGTTAAAAGAGCTGAGAGCTGAGGATATGATTTCTCAAGGAGCTGAGAAGTCTGAGGCAACAGCTAAAATCCTTTCATTGGATAAGGGGACATTTATTATGGTCTGAAGTAGGATTGTGGTGGTGTTAGTCAATTGGAAGGGCACACTGGTGGGCAAGCAAGGTTTGGTTCATAAAGATGATGCTAAGATTGGGGTTTTGGAGAGGGGACTAAGGATAAGAAATGAGCTGAAAAGATAGTCAGGGATTGGATTTTATCTTGTGGTTATAAGAAGTCATGAATAGATTTTAGGCAAGAAAGTGACATGGCCAAATTCATGTTTTAGGAATGGTTTGGAGAAGGCTAGGCTGGAAGCAGAGACCAATTTGAGACTAGTGTGGGTTGCTGGGGGCATTGAAGGAAAAAAATTTTCTCCAACTTCCAGGGAGATTTCCCCCTTTGTAAAAACATAAGTCTGACTGATCTAGACCTCTAGTCACTAATGGCTGTTGTGTCTGAATTGGGACTTCAAAACCTCCAGTTGAGGTATGAAGCATTTGCAAGAAGGACAATGTATTACACTGAGATTGCCTGGGATCAAATTTGAATTATCTTCACTTACTACCCATGTGACTGGGTAAGTTACTACTCTCTCAGTGCCTCAGTTTTCCCTTTTGAGAAATGAAAAGTTCCTGCCTCATCTGTGTATGAGAAGCAAGTGAAACAATGCATATACAAAGTGATTACTCAGCACATAGTCTGATAAATGTTCCACCAAAAGTGGAGCTCAAAGACCAGCCACAAGGAGGATCCCCATGACGTCCTGAAATATCAACTGGATTTCTTAATTCTCTTTCTTTAAAGGCTAGGCAAGGCCAATAGCGTGGCCCTGAGCTGGGCTTGGGCCTTAAGTGAGTGGGGTGATAATTATATCTACTGTGGGGATTAGAAGACTTAGATGATTTGGGGATGAGTGAAGGGAGCCAGATCATTAGAATTATAGTTTTACAATTGACATCATATAGGCCATATATAAAACCTAGCAGAAGCAGGATAAAGCTGTGCCTAAATGAAAGTAATACCTCAGAGCCGCAGACAGACAGTGGATTCGACTCTCACACATCCCAACGGGTGAGAAGTGCCGTGGAGGCTCGAGAGGGTGGGCTGGGTGCCCACGGGCACTAGCACCAGAGGGATATTGAAATGGCCAGTTAGCTCCCCCGAGAAAAACGGGGTCTGTAAACAGGGACCCCTAAACTACAGCAGCTAAAACCAAGAAAATACAGACAAAACGCAACCCCGAAAAGCTTAGGGGTGCTCTCTGCCACAGACAGGTGGCTAGGGATGCAAAGAGACATTTAAAGGACCAATGCAAAAATTTGCAGTGGCAGCCGCCCTCCTTGATCTCTGGGTAGAGGTGGCAGCAGGGTGGGCTGGTGCCTGGGAAAAGACTGGTGAGGAAAACTTTGTGAAGAGAACTGACACAGCCGCCGGTGGAGCCCGGGTGATAACGCACCTCCCACTCTGCAGCTACCATCTCTCTCAGGCATAAGGGAATCAATTAACCTGCCTTTTGTGCGCTCTGCACACAGCTTGTGTGTGTGAGAGCTGGGGGGCTGAGTGCAGACTGGCTGGGAGAGCCTTGAGGAGAGACTGGAGAGGGAGGCGTTGGGGAAAGAACGGGAGGAGGAACCAAGGAGTCCCGACGCCTTCTTTCCATAGTCTCCATTGTGCGGGGAAGAGGCCACACCCCAAAAGAGCCAAAAGCAGAAAAGCACACATAGACAGCCCAAAACCACCCAGTGCAGGCGCACACACTTGCGCCGAGTGGCCAGTGAGGGTTGGTGAGCATGTGTATGGAATCATGCGGGCTGGCGAGGGCTTCCACGGGCTGGCAAGGCCTCCCACAGATTGGCACCGATATGACCTGCTAGGCAGTGCGCAGACTGGCAAGGACAGGCATAAATTGACCCGCCCAGCACATGATTGCAGAGTGGCTCACAGAATTAGTAGATCCCGGGCCAAAGAGGTCACAGATCTGCCCAGAGTCCCTGGAGGAGAAATCAGAGACAGGATTAACCAGAGAGTCCTGGAGCTGACTTCCTCCCATTTCCGTAGTCTCCATTTGGCAAGGGCAAGCAACGTAGCCAAAGAGCCAAATGCGGGGAAAACACACAATAGAAGACCCTAAACTGACAAGTGCCAGGGTGCCTGCCAGCCAGGGGAGACGGACGAGTACGCGAGGTCGCAAATAAGCCCCCTGGTCTGGGGCAAGCACGTGCGAGCCCAGGCGGGCGGGGGATCCTGCCACGCTGGGGAGCGCACTCAAGGAGCCGGCGTGAGAGTGCAGAACGAGCCAAAGAAATAATCCATCCCTGAGCAAAGAGGTCACAGAGCTGCCTGAAACAGGAGTCAGACACAGACAGTACTCTCCAGGAGTGCTCAACCAAACAACCCAAGGTCATATAGGGTCAACAACTGACATCATCAGAGGCAGGCCAGAAAGAAAAGTAAAGGGAAAAATAAATAAATAAAAAGACCCACCTACTACCATAGAAGTTTAATCCACAAAGTCAGGAAATCTAGACAGCCCAATTGAAGCAGAAGCAAAAATAAATAAGTAAATAAATTAACACACTCTCACAAAAATGGGAAGAAAAAGAAGTTCCCACAAATGAGTAGAAAAGGGGACTCCCCACAGAGAGAGCTAAATGAAATACAGGCAAGGGAACTATCAGATATTGAATTCAAAAAATTGTTCTAAGGAACCTCAATGAGCTTAGCCAGCTTGAAGATAACATGGGAATCTGCAGAGAAACTATCAGGATCTTACAGCAAACTATATCAACCTGGAAAAGGACATAGAAACTATCAAGAAGACACAAGAGGATATGAAGAATACCATTTCTGAAATGAACAACACAGTAGAAGGAATCCAAAGCAGGCTGGATGAAGCCAAGGATCGAATCAGTGAGATAGAGGATAAGGTAGAAACAAGCTCCCAGAAAGAACAAGAAATGGAAAAAAGACTCAAAAAGAATGAAGAGGCATTGAGGGAAATGCAGGACAACCTGAAACGCAATAATATCCATATAATAGGGATACTAGAAGGAGAAGAGGAGCAAGGGATAGAAAACCACCTTGAAAAAGTAATGATGGAAAATTTCCCGAATTGGAGGAGAGAAAGGCTCTCATGGATCCAGCAGGCACAGAGACCCCACTCAAGAGGGACTCAAGGAGGTCCGCTCGAAGACACATCATCATTAAAATGGCAACTATCAAAGACAAAGAGTGAATCCTCAAGGCAGCAAGGGAGAAGGAGAAAGTAACACACAAGGGGGCCCCGATACACCTAGGAGCTGACTTCTGAACAGAAACACTACAAGCCAGAACGGAATGGCAACAAATATTCCACATCATGAAAAGCAAGGGCTTACAGCCAAGGCTGCTCTACCCAGCTAGGCTCTCCATTAAAATAGAAGGGGAAATACGGAGTTTCCCAGACAAGGGAAGTCTAAAAGAATACATCTCTACCAAACCAGCACTCCAAGATATGCTAAGGGGACTGGTTTAAGCAGATGAAGGAAAAGAATGAGAGAGAGAGGAACACAGGTACAAAGAGAAAAGATGAGTAAGTTTCTATCAGTAATGTCTCTCAACGTGAATGGACTAAATGCCCCAATCAAAAGACACATGGTAGCTGAATGGATAAGAAAACATGACCCACACATACGCAGCCTACAAGAGACCAACCTCAGAGCCAAAAACCTACACAGATTGAAAGTAAAGGGATGGAAAAAAAATATTCCAAGCAAATGGGCAAGAGAAAAAGGCCGGGGTTGCCATACTTGTATCAGACAAAGTAGATTTCAGAACAAAAGCCATAAAAAGAGACCCAGAGGGCCACTTTATAATACATAAGGGAATAATCTATCAAGAAGAATCAACATTGTAAACTTATATGCTCCCAATATAGGAGCCCCCAAGTTTATAAGGAAAGTGTTGGATGACTTCAAAAGTGATATACACAGCAACACACTGATAGTAGGGGATTTCAACACCCCACTGTCAAAAATGGACAGATCTTCCAAACAAAACATTAATAAACATATTGTGCACCTGACTGACACACTGAATCAAAGAGACTTAACTGACATATATAGAATCTTACATCCCAAAGAAGAAAAATACACATTCTATTCAAATGCTCATGGCAGTTTTTCAAAGATAGACCACATGACAGGACACAAAGCAAGCCTCAGGAAATTCAGGAAAACTGAAATAATACCTAATTCTTTCTCGGACCACAAGGGATTGAAACTGGATATCAACCTCAAAGAGAAACTTCAAAAACTTGCAAACTCATGGAGACTGAACAGTAGACTATTAAACGATAAATGGGTCAATAATGAGATAAGAGAAGAAATCAAAAAATGTCTGGAAACAAATGAAAATGAACAGACAACAGTCCAAAACCTATGGGACACAGCAAAGGCGGTCCTGAGAGTGAAGTTCATAGCAATACAGGCTTACCTAAAAAAGATAGAAACAGTTCAAATAAAAGACCTAACACTACCACTTCAAGAACTGGAGACATAACAACCAATAAATCCCAGAGCAAGTAGAAGGAAGGAAATAGTCAAGATTAGAGCAGAACTGAATGACATAGAGAAGAAAAGAATAATTCAAAGGATCAACCATTCCAGAAGCTGGATCTTTGAAAAGATAAATAAAATTGACAAGGCTTTAAGAAGAGTCATCAAGAAAAAGAGGGAGAGGACCCTAATTAATATCAGAAACGAAGAGGAGAAATAAAAACTCAGAAATACAAAGGATAATCAGAAACTATTATGAACAATTATATGTCAAGAAATTTGAAAATCTTGATGAAATGGACAAATTTTTTAAAAAGTATAATCTTCCAACACTGAAGGGGGAAGAAACAGAAAGCTTGAACAGACCAATAACAGCTGGGGAAATTGAAGCAGTCATGAAGAAACTCGCAGCACACAAAAGCCCAGGGCCGGACGGTTTCACAGAATTTTACAAAACATTGAAGGAAGAGCTAATCCCTGTCCTTCCCAGACTATTAAAAAAAAATCCAAGAGGAGGGAAGACTCCCAGACTCTTTCTATGAGGCCAGCATCACCCTGTTCCCAAAACCAGATGAAGACCCTACAAAGAAAGAAAACTACAGGGCTATTTCGCTGATGAACATAGATGCTAAAATCCTCAACAAAATATTGGCAAACCGCATCCAGCAATACATTCGAAAGATTATCCACCACGATCAAGTGGGATTCATCCCAGGCATGCAGGAATGGTTCAATATACACAAATCAGTAAACGTGATACATCACATAAAAAAGAAAAGACAAAAAGCACATGATCATCTCGATAGACACAGAAAAAGCTTTCGATAAGGTACAGCACCCATTTATGATCAAAACACTCAGAAAATGGGAATAAATGGGCCATTCCTCAACATAATAAAGGCCATATATGAAAAACCTAGAGCCAGCATCATACTCAACGGGCAAAAACTAAAAGCTTTCCCACTAAGATCGGGAACACAACAAGGATGTCCGCTTTCACTACTTCTTTTCAACATCGTATTGGAAGGCCTAGCCACAGTGGTCAGACAAGAAAAAGAAATAAAAGGCATCCAAATAGGAAAGGAGGAAGTAAAGCTATCATTGTTTACAGATGACATGATAGTGTACATAGAAAACCCTGTAGACTCTACCAAAAAACTCTTCTAGCGAATAAGTGAATTTGGCAAAACAGCAGGATACAAAGTCAACATTCAGAAATCAAAGGTATGTTTGTACACCAGCAATGAAACAGAAGAAGAAGAAAAAATAATCCCATTCAATATAGGAAGAAGAAAAATAAAGTACCTAGGCATAATTTTAACCAAGGAGGTAAAAAACCCGTATGCAGAAAACTATACAACATTGAAGAAAGAAATGAAGGAAGACACAAATAAATGGAAGCATATACCGTGCTCATTGATCGGAAGAATTAATATCATCAAAATGTCGATACTACCCAAAACAATTTATAGATTCAACGCAATCCCTATTAAGATACCAATGACATATTTCACAGAAATAGAGCAGACATTTCAAAAATTTATATGGAACCATAAACAACCCCGAAGAGCCACAGCAATTTTGAGAAAGTAAGACAAAGGGGGGATCAGAATACCGGGCATCAAATTATATTACAAAGCCACTATAGTCAAAACAACCTGGTACTGGCACAAGAACAGACCCATAGACCAGTGGGACAGAATAGAACGCCCAGAAATAAGCCCAGGTCTATATGGGCATCTAACATTTGACAAAGGGGGCAGAATAATAAAATGGAGCCATAATAGCCTCTTCAACAATTGGTGTTGGGAGAGCTGGACAGCTACATGCAAAATTGAAATTAGATCATCAGCTGACACCATACACAAAAATAAACTCAAGATGGATAAAAGACTTAAATAGAAGTCACAACACCATGAAAGTCCTAGAGGAGAACTTTGGAAGGAAACTCTCAGATATCTCACGCAGCAATTTTTTCACTGATATGTCTCCTAAAGCAAGGGACATAAAGGAAAGAATAAACAAGTGGGACCTCATCAAAATAAGAAGCTTCTGAATGACTAAAGAAAACATCAGCAAAATGAAAAAGGAGCCAACCATATGAGAAAATATATTCGCGAATGATACATCAGATAGAGGTTTGATCTCCAAGATATATAAAGAACTCACTCAACTCCTCTCCAAGACAACATACGATTCAATCAAAAAATGGGCAAAGGACCTGGGCAGACACTTTTCCAAGGAGGAGATACAGAGGGCCCAGAGGCATTTGAAAGGATGCTCTGCATCACTAGCCATCAGAGAAATGCAGATCAAAACCACCATGAGGTACCACCACACCCCGGTCAGAATGGCCATCATAAACAGATCCACAAACAACATGTGCTTGACCAGGCTGTGGAGAAAAGGGAACCCTAGTACACTGTTGGTGGGAATGCAGACTGGTGCAGCCACTATGGAAAGCAGTGTGGAATTTCCTCAAAAACCTGAAAATGGAACTGCCTTTTGATCCAGTGATTTCCGTGCTGGGAATATACCCTCAGAATCCCAAAACGCCAATTCAAAAGATCATATGCACCCCAACGTTCATAGCAGCACAATTTATAATAACCAAGTGTTGGAAGCAACGTCAATGCCCATCAGTAGATGATTGGATCAAAAAATTATGGTACATTTACACAATAGAATACTACACAGCAGAAAGATCAAAGATCTACTAAACTTCGTGACAGCATGGATTGAACTGGAGAGCATTATGCTAGGCAAAATAAGCCAGGGAGTGAAAGTCAAATACCATATGATCTCACCTATAAGCCGAACCTAACCAACAATACAAATATGTAAGGAAAATAAGACCAGCAACACTGAAAGGAAAAGAAATCATCAGAGACAAGATGGAAGGAGGGAGGGGGAGTGGGGAAAAGGAAGGGAAAGGGAAAGTCAAGGAACATATAGCAAGGACTCATGGACAAAACCAAAGGGGAAGAGCTGAGGGAGGGAAGGAGAGAGTGGGCAAGGGAAATTGGTGGGGTGTAGACAGAGACAAATGTATTTGAAAAAATAAATTAAAAAAATAGAAAAAAATAACATGTATAAAGGACCAATGCCCAAAACCAAAAAGGGGGTGGGATTGAGATTGGGAGGTTGGGGTAGGTGTGGCAGGGGAGGGTGGTGGGGGTAAAGTGGCAGCAACTATACTTGAACAACAGTAAAAAATTATATTAAAAAAAGAAAAGAATAGCCCAATTGACTGATTTTTTTACCCCATTCTCAACCAACTGATGTAATCTTTGCTCATATAATATTTATATTCATGTTACCTAAGGAGAAAGCAAGGAGATTGGCTTTCTCTGCCTTTTCCTTACCAGCACCTTTCTTGGTTAAAACTCTCATATCTTTGCTAAATCTTGGTGCTTTTCTGATGATTTGTGGACTTTTTTCTTTTTGCTTCTGGACAGAAATCATAGACAGACTTAAGAAGCCTCCTCCTGTGTATAGACCACTTGTTCCTCCTGAGCATCCCCCTCCAGAATGTCTCTAGCTGATGGAGCAGTGCTGGGCTGAGGCTGCAGGACAATGACCAACTTTTGATGAAATATTTAACCTGGTAAGGGCTGCGTGAATCTTAGCACTGTCCAGTAGCCATCCTGAACCTGGCTCCAAACTAACCCCAAACTAACTCCTTGGGTTGTCATATTGTGGAAGGAACCTCTGGCAAGAGAAAAAGGCACTCCTTTTGAGAAAGTAGCCAGTTGGAGACCTTTGATGCTAGAACATCCCAATACATCCTCAGAGGGCACACAGGTTGGTTTTGGTGCTCTTCTGTATCTGGCATTCTTTTCCAGACCATCCACAATCTAACCTAGCCAAACTTTCAATGGTAGAATTAAACCATCAGGTATTAGCAAGGCGCTAGCATTGAGACTATTACAAGATAGATATTATGGTATAAATTGGGATTCTTATACAGCCATGATTGCTTTGAAGATCATGGAGAACTCTGATGAGTATACTATTTAAGCAATGTCAGGTTATTTTTAGAGGGTCAGGAAAAGTATGGGGTGTTTGAAAAGGTGTTCAGGGTTGGAGAAAGTAAGTATGGAGTACAAAAGCAGGAGATAACTTAGGTTCCTAAGGAAGGACATGAGGCAAGAGTGCCTGAAAAGTGATAAACTTAAAATATGGAATTTATAAAATGGCTGAATCTTTCCTTAGAGTGGGAAACTAAAAGGGGAAAATGAGAAAAGGGAAGAGAGAGTCCTACTGAGGGAAACAGGGTGCAGTTCCTATGTTGGAGCGGGCAGTTTAGGGCTTTGTTGGAACTATAGGATGCTGAAAATCAGGGTGCTCTCTGTGAGTGCTTGTGTCAGCTCTGGTGAAGTGGCTTTTGATCCTGGCTGGAGTACAGTACTGAGACGCTTTGTGAATGGCAGGTATCTGAGGTGGGAAAAAAGAAACAGTGAGATTTAAAGCCTAAGGGGTCCTGCGTAGGAAGTCATCCATGTCTCCAGCTAACAGTACCTCCATTAGCCTGGCTGTTTCTTGAGGACAATCCAAGAGGTGTTCAATACTATGTAAAAGGTCAAATTTCTAAAAAGTTACTGTGAGGCAGGGGAAAAAGCATTTGCCCTTGTGTTGATGCTAGAGATGTTATTTCAGAAGGCATCAGAGAAGCTAGTGGTAGATAGAAGGAGTGTACATCATGCAGCCTTCAAACAAGACATAACTGGAGCTGCCCTCACTGAAATGATTCAGTGGAAGTTTAGACCTTCTGAGAGCAAGGGTTGCCTCCCAAATCCCTGTAGCTAATAAAACTTAAATGGAGAGAGGAGTGTGAGTATCCCTGGATTAGGCAATAGGAGAAGCTGAAAGCATCTGATCTAGTTACTGAGATTACCAGCAGGACCTTGGTGGACATCTAGATGTGGACCAGGCTCAAAAGAAAACTACTGGTGTTGGCCCTGGGGTATTGAGAGCTAAGTGGCAGATGTATGGCTTAGCCATATAGGAGGGTTCATTGAGACAGATTCTTAGATGCCTTCCCAGCAACACTACCACATGTCTTTTTCATTGTGAACAGAGCCTTGTTTATGCTGAATACAGCAGCAAGGAGGCTCTACCCTCCTTGATTCCAATGTTATGCTAAGCTCCCAGTCTCTAGATGGAAAGGGTCCCAGGCAGGCATATTGAAAATCTGTGGAAAACAGACGCTTCTAAAGGATCAAGGCATATAATGGGGCAAGACCAGTTGGATTTCTACATTACCCCGACTAACATGAAGGGCAGGAGATAGGAAACACCATTTTCCCTGGACTCCATGTGAAAGAAGGGAGACCTTGGGCCATATTTAAGAAGGCAAAGAACCTTCCACTGCCCAAGAACTGGCAACACAGCAACATTAGAAGATAAGAATAATCTCGACAGAATCGAGATGGCAAAGTGAATGGAAGTCACACTGACCTCCTCCCAGGACCAATCAGGAACTACAACTAAATTGTGGAGAAATCACCTGGAACAAACAAGTGAACAATAGCAAGAGAGGAGCCTTAAAACCTCAGACAGGCAGAAGAATCACATTTAGCACAACCTAACTGGTAAGGAATGCAGAAGAGACTGGAGAAGGTGGGTGGCAAGCCCATGGGTGAGAGCACCAGAAGGATATTAAAACAGCCAGATGGATCCCCCTGAGAAGAGCAGCATCTACATCATAAGCGGGAATCTCCAGCCTACAGCACCAGAGCCCAAAAAGTACACAGAAGACAGCCAGCTGCAAAAAGCTTCAGGGTTGCTCTCTGCCAGAGACAGGTGGCTGGACAAGCAAAGAGCCACTTAAAGGGCCAACTCATAACTTTTTACTTGCAGCCACTTACCCTGATCTCCAACATAGGTGGGGCAGAGTGGGTGAGAACACCTTTCCTTAAACTTGAAAGAAACAGAAGAGTAGGGGAACAACTACTCAAAGAAAAATAGCCCTATGAATAGGCCAGGTTAACAATTAAGGTGGGTGGTGACTTTTGCTACTTTTACCAGATTCACCTCTTCTGCCCTGGCATTTTAAAGGAAGAGATTTTTTGATAAGGGGTCCTGCTCCATCATCAATAAATTTGGGGAGTAATAATTCCCCGGGTCCTCCTCTTGTTTCACTTCCAGTTCCAAACTTTCAATAAAGGGAAGGAGACCAATATCATTGATTCTATGCTTTGGATGTTGGAGCCACTTGGAAGATTTGATCCAGAAGTGGACTGAAGAGTTGGAAATTAAAAAACAGAAAACAGAAAAGCTTCTAGCACAGATGCTACCACTGTATGTGTGAATAACTAAGGTGTGTGAATCCTTGCAACAATGTATTCTATTAAAAATCGAAAAAAAAATACCCATCAACTAACTTCTCTTTCTCTCCCTGCCCTGCACCCTCTCTACTCCCAGTAGGTTTGATTTGCACCTTGAAATAAAAGAATTGGAAATCAAGGGAACAGAACACACTTCCTTATTTTCCACTATCTGTAGATCATGCTGGTCATTTAATTTTTTAGTGCTTTGGTTTTTCTATGCATCACTGCATGACTTCGCCTAGTAGTTGACCAATTAAAAGGAAGCAGTTCTTTGAATTCCTAGAGGGAAGTAGTAAAGTTGCTTTTCTAGGTTTTTACTCCCTTAGTTAAAAGCTTTATCTGTTACTACAATTTCCAAATTTTCCAAGGTACCTTATTCTGTTGTAACAGGATCTTCTAGGAGATAATTGCAGAGCCGAGTCCCTCCCAAAGCAACCACCTGGGGATATTCCCCAAGGGCATGGGGTGCTGAGGAAGAAGGATAAGGAGATGAAAAAACTCCACAAAGGCATAGAGCAGCGCTACCTGTTCATTGCTATAGTCCAGCACCTAGCACATGCTTGGCACATTGTAAGCACTTAATATATATATTTGTAGAATAATTGAAAGAATTAATGTTTTCATCCAGGTGAAATTTTCTTCTTCATCATTTACTTGGTAGTGATTTTTTGAGACATTATTTTCTAGCAGATGTGTGTGCAGCATAAAGGGAGGCCTGTGTCCTCTGAAGAATTGCTGTGTCTGCTTTTCAGATCAGTTGCCGAATCCCTCAAAAAGGGCTGCACGGTCCAACCTGAAAATTTTGACTTGGTCACCTTGTACTTCAGTGGCATTGTGGGCTTAACCACTAACTCTGCCATGAGTGGCTCCACTGAGGTGGTGGATCTTCTCAATGACCTTTATGCACTCTTTGATGCCATCATTGGCAGTCATGATAGTCATGATGTCTACAAGATAAGTTATTTAACACAGAAATATATTCCAGAGAGAAATTTTTATATGAGGCTCATTTGTGTGCACTTCAAAATTGAAGGATGCAATTTTATTATGTTGTTACTTAGAAATTAAAATTTGACCCTGGCTGGTGTGGCTCAGTGGATTGAGTATTGGCCTGTGAACCACAGGGTCACTGGTTCAGTTCCCAGTCAGGGCACATGCCTAGGTAGTAGGCCAGGTCCCTGGTAAGGGGTGTGTGATAGGCAACCACACATTGATGTTTCTCTCCCTCTTTTTCTCTTCCTTCCCCTCTCTCTAAAATTAAGTAAATAAAATCTTCTAAAAAATAAAAATTCCAAGTAGTGAATTAAAAAATTTCCATTGGTATCCCATTGGAAAAGAAAGCCAGAGAGAATGCATATAATTTAACACTTTGCAAAACAACAGTCTCAACCCAGCAAGAAATTGCCAGTGAGATTTCCTTTAAGCTGTTTTCTAGAACTGGAACTAAGAAGAGCTTGGGTCTAAAAGTGTTACTGCATTTCAGTAGCTGACTACACACAGTGTAGGCAGTATTATGCTAGGCACTAAAGGGGATACAGAAGAAGTATTGGTGTTTTGCCTGTAGTTGGTGACTGCTACAGAGTTCATCTTGGTAAAGTTTGTGTAGAAATACATGGTGTTAAATTTTGGTTTCCCCTTTAGGTACTGTTTTTATACAGGAAAGAATTCTAACATTCCTCATGTTCAAGATCTATTGAATCTGAGGCTCTCAGGTATTGCTACAGGGTAACCAGAAGCCCATCTATTGGTCTGAGGTCTGGGAGGTGGTTAATTGTGAGGTTGCAATCCTCTGCTGCCACCTTTCTCCACCCCTCCAGCTTGTGAATTTGTACTCTTCCTAGCAAAGTTTGCAAAAGATGAGTAGAAAACAGATGGCTATATTCACTTATTTTGGTGTGATGTTTTCTTACCCTTGATTTTATATGTTATTTCATCTCTAGGAAGAAACTTGCTAAGATTTTCTTAGCTGTGAAGGGACATTTCCACATTGTCTGCAACATGGATGCTTGTCTTATTGATGGAGAAAGATGCCCCAGGCATCCCAAACTTTAGACAGCTCCTCTGTCCCAGGAACTAAGGCAGAGCTGGAGAATGAGTAGCTCCTTTCATTGAATTCTTCACAGTAGTCTGAAATGTTCCAACACTTTTTTTATTTTTTAATTAAAAATATTTTATTTATTTATTTATAGAGAGAGGGGAAGGGAGGGAGAAAAGGAGGGAGAGAAACATCAATGTGTGGTCACCTCTCGTGCACCCCCTACTGAGGACCTGGCCTGCAACCCAGGCAAGTGCCCTGACTGGGAATCGAACCAGCGATTTTTTGGTTCACAGGCCAGCACTCAATCCACTGAGCCACACCATCCAAGGCTGAAATGTTCCAACTCTTAAATCTCACACAGGGCAGTGTGTTTATCTCAGCTTAGACAAGGCCCTTTCAGATCAGGTAGAAAGCCTGAGGGCTAGGTCAAGCCATCTAAATAGGTCTCACAAATAGACATCATACCTGTCAATCATTAGGAACTGCAAACTTATCAAAAAGCACACATGGAGACTATAAAGGAGGAACAATCCATGGAATCAGACTACTTGTCTCAATGTTTTTTTTAATCAAGTAGCCTGAAGAGAAAAAACGAATCACCAAAAGCTAATTCAGTTGAAACTAAAATAAAAAATGATTCAGCATGAGCAGTAACACAGCTGCTGGTTTAATCAATCCACCTGATAGTGTTCAGACAATTGTTGGGGGTTTTAGAGATGAGGCCATTAGGTATTTTGGTACTTTATGGCTATAGAAGGGAGTTAGTGAGCTGTTTCCAGGACAGAGCAGGGCTATGTGAATGCAAAAATGGAATCCAATTTTTTATACCTGTTTATTAAAAATAAAAATGTGCAAAGTTAAAATATTGAACCAGCAGTGGTTCACCAAACCTGTTTGTGTTTCCATTTTTATTTTACCTGTAAAATTGGAATCACTTCCCCTGACACTTGATAACCTGAAGTGGAAGTAAGAAGGCTACTGCAGAATCATGAAGTGGGTGATTTGTTTTCAGTTTCAATTCTCCTGATACCACCTCATCTCAACCAGACCCTTTTCTATACATCTTCTTCCCTTTCTCTGTCCTTATGCTGATTTATGCAACCCACAGTTTCCCACAGCAGTCTCACAAGGCCAGGCAGTGCCCATGCTCTCTGACCTTCTAATCTTCTCATCCATTATCATTGGGACTCCTGTGTGACTGACTCAAAGCTGAAGTGTCAACCACTCATAATGGCCAGCTAGTGAATTTTTTCCTCTCATATAGCATTTGCACGGTACCCATTGCCTTTCTCTGTGTAGCCAGGCATGCTTATTTGATGGCAGTGATACTTTTTTTCAAAGTGTACCAGGTAAAGGAAGACCTTAAAGGAAGCATGCCAAGGTACAAATTTCCATAAGTAAAAAGGGTCATTGTTATTGGCTATATAGGAAATCATGATGAGGGGCCCATTGTTGACTACTAAACTTTCTCTGGAGCTGAGTCATAACACAGTCCTAAGTCTTGTTTCAAGACTTAGCAGTTTGGCAATGATGATGATGATGAGATAGCTTGCACTTATCATCCAACCAGGCAGGCTTTAAGTGCTTTGACGTATATTAAATTTTTAGTCCTTAGAAAATCCTGAGGTAGGTACTGTCATTATCCCTATTTTATAGATAAGGATACTGAAGAACAGAGAGATTAAGTCATTTGCCCAAGGCCACACAGCTTATAAATGGTACATCTAGGATTCTAACCAAGACAGCATTGCTTCACAGTTTCATGCTCTTAACCATTGAACTCATGAGTACTGTTCTTTATGAGAACATGGATTTTAACTAGATCCAAACTTGTACTAGAAGAGTCTGACTGGCAGATTTCATAGAAGTCCTTTCAACTCACTTATCTTTTGGATTTACTTGAAAACTTCCAACTTACTTTTCCAAGTCACCTAAAAGAGTGATCATACTTCTGTGGAGAAGACAAAGAGTACAATTTTGCCTTTATTTTCAGGTGTCCAGCTCTAACTTCTCCCTGCAAAGCAGTAGACGCTTAGTGTTGCTGCCCCTTAAATGGTAGCACTAGGAGAGCTGATGGAAGCTGGTGGTAAAATACCCAGTTCTCATCCAGAATGGGACTGCAAAACTAACGTTGTCATATTAGCAAGGCAAAGCAGAAGGAACTGACTCTTCCATCTTCTTTCTTTCCCTTTTCCTATACTTGCCTTAGGGCTGCTCTAGCTCATTTACTTGAAATCATCTAGGGAAATATGCTTGATGGAGGCGCACCATGCGTGCACCTTTTCCTAGGATGCTTCCCCATGGGCACCCGCAGGCAGTCTCAGAAATCTCTCATTTTCTCTTCCCCAGGAATTGTTTGGAGCCACATAGTTTTCTAGGGCCAGCCAGGAGTTTGCAAAGTAGCTGCACTTATTTAAGAATTTATGGATGTGGGACCAAGACATCAGTATTTTTTTAAAAATAAAGTTCCCTGAGTGATTCTAACATGCAGCCAGGCTTGTGAACCACTGACAACCTCCCTGTCTTCCTAACTTTACAAAAAGAACACCTGACTCTCATCATACCCCTTAAACACTGTGAAACACACACAGAGGCACAAACAGACACAGCCACACAAACACACCAGAAGTTATTTGCTTGCTAATTTTATTTTCTCCCAATTTCCCAGGTAGAGACCATTGGAGATGCTTACATGGTGGCCTCAGGCCTCCCTAAGAGGAGTGGCAGTAGGCATGTAGCTGAGATTGCAAACATGTTCCTAGATATCTTGAGCTCCATGGGTACCCTCACGATGTGTCATATGCCAGAAGTGCCAGTTCAGATTCAAATAGGCTTGCATTCAGGTAACAATGATCAGTAAAGCAAAAGATGATATTCCTATGTGTCTAAAGGGAAAACTAGAAAAGGAGGGAGAGGGTATGTCTTTCCTGATTACTAGAAACTGGATTATCCAGGTGTCCAGTGTTACATAATTCCTTCAGTCCTACTCAAGTTTACTCTCTTCCCAGTGGGCAGCAGTCCTTGTTCAAGGTACCAAACCCTTTTAGTTTACCTTTCTTTTTAAAGCCAACATTTCCATGTTTGATTATATGACACATGATCAATGTGCACATGTTATATATAGGATAATTCACTTAATCATTTAAAATCACAACTCCTGAAGTTTTTGTCTCCCACACTACTTCAACTTGCTTGAATGTCTTCAGGATTTTCCCTTCATTGTATCCTTATTATCTACCTTCACAAATTCAGAAGTATCCTGACAAATACCTCACTTGATGTCACAGATATCTTGGCTAGTAGTCCTGCTTGCTTCCCTTTCCACTCACCTCCTCTTAATCATTGCTTTGCTCTTCTAGGCTCCTTTTCTTCACCCATACTTTCTACCCCTTTCCTACCACATTTCTTAAAAATGATCGATACTCACTCTACCATTTCTTCAGTATCCACTTCCTCTTTTGCCCTTTTGTAATCTTGTTTCAGCTCTCACCACTTTTCCAAGTCCTCCTCTGCTCTTAACTCTGCAACATTTGATATTCTTGACAGTCCTCCCTAACACTTTCCTCAATTGGCTTTTCTGACATGTTCTTCACTTGCTGAATGATTCTTCTCCATTTCCTTTCCTGTCTAAGCAAGTCCTGCTCACTGACTGTGGCTATTCCCACCTTTTCTGCAAAACTCTGAGTTATGGCCTCCTTAATCTCTGCACATTCTAATCTCTAATTCATTCTCAACCCACTGCAAACTGGCTTTCATTTTCTACTATTGCCTGATAATCTCTTCCATCTCCATCTGTTGCTTAGATATTGATATCGCTCAGGATTTTGTCATTTATTTACCATTTTTCTCTTTTTCTATAAGCTTCTGACTTCATGTCTACTATTTAACTACCACTTGTGTGCTGATGACTTCCAACTCCACGACTTTAGCACATGTCTCCTTTCTTAAGGTTTAGCCTTGTATATCAGACTTGATGCTGATATTTTCACATGAATGCTCCACATGGTCCTCAGACTCAACACATTCAAAACAAATTTATTTTCTTCCCACATGAATTTCCTCTTCTTTCTGCTTTTATTTTCTATTTTAATTCATGGTATCACCATTCACCTTGTTATTTCAGTTAGTCCTGGGAATCATTCTCCTTGACTACTCCCTCAACATGACCTTCATCATTCAACCAACAATTAAATCTTGAATATTTTACATTTAAAATATTTCTTCATTATGTCTTGTCTCACTACTCAAGGCTAGGCCACCAGCATCTCTTCCCTGGATCATTGAAACAGCATCTTTTTTGCTTCCACTCCTATTTTTTTCAAAATATTTTTAAGTCATGTTTATTCTATTAGAGTTGTCTCAATTTTTCCCTCTTTGCCCTCCTCCATCCACCTCATGATGTTCCTTTCTCCCACAGTCAATTCCCACTCTGTTGTCCATGTCCATAGGTCATTCATACATGTTCTTTGTCTTGTCCTTTCCCCTTCTTTCCACCATTGTCCTCCTTCTGCACCTTATCTGGTCACTTTCACTCTGCTCCATGTTTCCTTCTCTGTGGTTTATTTTTTTTTATTTTTTTTTATATAAACCCATGTTTTACTTTTTTTAAATTAATTTATTTACTTTTTAAATACATTTGTCTCTGCCTTCCCCCCACCTCTTTCCCTTGCCCCCTTCCACCTCCCCTCCCTCAGCTCTTCCCCTTTGGTTTTGTCCATGAGTCCTTGCTATATGTTCCTTGACTTTCCCCTTCCCTTCCCTTTCCCTGCCCCCCCCTTCCCTCTTGTCTCTGTAGATTTCTTTTCCTTTCAGTGTTGCTGGTCATATTTTCCTTGCTTCTTTGCATTGTTGGTTAGGTTCCGCTTATAGGTAAGATCATATGGTATTTGTCTTTCGCCCCCTGGCTTATTTCGCTTAGCATGATGCTCTCCAGTTCCATCCATGCTGTCGCAAAGTTTAGTACTTCTTTTTTCTTTCTGCTGCGTAGTATTCCATTGTGTATATGTACCATAATTTTTTGATCCAGTCATCTACTGATGGGCATTTAGGTTGCTTACAACACTTGGCTATTGTAAATTGTGCTGCTATGAACATTGGGGTGCATAGGTTCTTTTGTATTGGCGTTTTGGTGTTCTCAGGGTATAGTCCCAGCAGGGGAATCGCTGGATCAAAAGGCAGTTCCATTTTCAGCTTTCTGAGGAAATTCCACACTGCTTTCCATAGTGGCTGCACCAGTCTGCATTCCCACCAACAGTGGACTAGCGTTCCCTTTTCTCCACAGCCTCGCCAGCACCTGTTGTTTGTGGATCTGTTTATGATGGCCATTCTGACTGGTGTGAGGTGATACCTCATGGTGGTTTTGATCTGCATTTCTCTGATGGCTAGTGATGCAGAGCATCCTTTCAAATGCCTCTGGGCCCTCTGTATCTCCTCCTTAGAAAAGCATCTGCCCAGGTCCTTGGCCCATTTTTTGATTGGATCGTTTGTCTTCTTGGAGTAAAGTCGAGTGAGTTCTTTGTATATCTTGGAGATCAAACCTCTATCTGATGTATCATTAGCAAATATATTTTCCCAAATGGTTGGCTCCCTTTTCATTTTGCTGATGTTTTCTTTAGCCGTGCAGAAGCTTCTTATTTTGATGAGGTCCCACTTGTTTATTCTTTCCTTTATGTCCCTTGCTTTAGGAGACATATCAGTGAAAAAATTGCTGCGTGGGATATCTGAGAGTTTCCTGCCAATGTTCTCCTCGAGGACTTTGATGGTGTTGCGACTTATATTTAAGTATTTTATCCATCTTGAGTTTATTTTTGTGTATGGTGTCAGCTGATGATCCAATTTCAATTTTTTGCATGTAGCCATCCAGCTCTCCCAACACCATTTGTTGAAGAGGCTGTTATTGCCCCATTTTATGCTTCTGCCCCCTTTGTCGAATATTAGATGTCCATAGAGACCTGGGCTTATTTCTGGGCTTTCTATTCTGTTCCACTGGTCTATGGGTCTGTTTTTGTGCCAGTACCAGATTGTTTTGAGTATAGTGGCTTTGTAGTAGAGTTTGATGTCCGGTATTGTGATCCCTCCTACTTTGTGTTTCTTTCTCAAAATTTCTGCGGCTATTCGAGGTCGTTTATGGTTCCATATAAATTTTTGAAATGTCTGTTCTATTTCTGTGAAATACGTCATTGGTATCTTAATAGGGATTGCGTTGAATCTATAAATTGCTTTTGGTAGTATGGACATTTTGATGATATTAATTCTTCCAAACCATGTGCACGGTATATGCTTCCATTTATTTGTGTCTTCCTTAATTTCTTTTTTCAATGTTGCATAGTTTTCTGCATACAGGTCTTTTGTGTCTTTGGTTAAATTTATCCCTAGGTACTTTATCTTTTTTTCGTGCTATATCGAATGGTATATTTTTCCTGATTTCTTCTTCTTCTATTGCATTGCTGGTGTACAGAAACGCCTTTGATTTCTGAATGTTGACTTTGTATCCTGCTGTTTTGCCAAATTCACTTATTAGGTTGAGGAGTTTTTTGGTAGAGTCTACAGGGTTCTCTATGTACACTATCATGTCATCTGCAAACAATGATAGTTTTACTTCCACCTTTCCTATTTGGATGCCTTTTATCTCTTTCTCTTGTCTGACCGCTGTGGCTAGGACTTCCAATACGATGTTGAAAAGAAGCGGTGAGAGCGGACATCCTTGTCGTGTTCCCGATCTTAGTGGGAAAGCTTTCAGTTTTTGCCCGTTGAGTATGATATTGGCTGTAGGTTTTTCATATATGGCCTTTATTACATTCAGGAATGCCCCATTTATTCCCATTTTGCTGAGTGTTTTGATCATAAATGGGTGCTGTACCTTGTCAAATGCTTTTTCTGCATCTATCGAGATGATCATGTGGTTTTTGTCTTTTCTTTGATTTATGTGGTGTATCACGTTTACTGATTTGCGTATATTGAACCATCCCTGCATCCCTGGGATGAATCCCACTTGATTGTGATGGATAATTTTTGAATGTATTGCTGGATGCGGTTTGTCAATATTTTGTTGAGGATTTTAGCATCCATGTTCATCAGCGAAATGGGCCTGTAGTTTTCCTTCTTTGTAGGGTCTTTATCTGGTTTTGGGATCAGGGTGATGCTGGCCTCATAGAAGGAGTCTGGCAGTCTTCCCTCCTCTTGGATTTTTTGGAATAGTCTGAGAAGGACAGGGGTTAGCTCTTCCTTAAATGTTTTGTAAAATTCTCCTGGGAAACCGTCTGGCCCTGGGCTTTTGTGTGCTGGGAGTTTCTTGATGACTGCTTCAATTTCCCCAGCTGTTATCGGTCTGTTGAAGCTTTCTGTTTCTTCCTCCTTCAGTGTTGGAAGATTATACTTTTCTAAAAATTTGTCCATTTCATCAAGATTTTCAAATTTCTTGGCATATAATTGTTCATAATAGTTTCTGATAATCATTTGTATTTCTGTGGTATCAGTTGTTATTTCTCCTCTTTCATTTCTGATATTATTAATTTGGGTCCTCTCCCTTTTTTTCTTGATGAGTCTGCTTAAAGGTTTGTCCACTTTATGAATCTTTTCAAAGAACCAGCTTCTGGATTGGTTGATCCTCTGAATTGTTCTTTTTGTCTCTATGTCATTCAGTTCTGCTCTAATCTTGACTATTTCCTTCCTTCTACTTGCTCTGGGATTTATTTGTTTTGTTTCTCCAGTTCTTCAAGTTGTAGTGTTAGGTCTTTTATTTGAAATGTTTCTATCTTTTTAGGGTAAGCCTGTATTGCTATGAACTTCCCTCTCAGGACCTCCTTTGCTGTGTCCCATAGGTTTTGGACAGTAGTCCGTTCAT